CTCGTCCAGCCTCTGTCTCCGCATCTCTCTGTCATTGTCTCTGTGTACGTGTTTGTATGTCACATCTCCCTGCACCACTCTTCCTTGGTCCTTATTACTCTTTCCAATTCGCTTGGCCTCTTGCTGTCTTCAGTCTCTGGCCATTTCTGACTCCCTAGGTCTGGTCTCGTGACTCCTTTGCTCCCTCTATCCCTCTGTCTCTGTTCACTTGATCTGCCCTTTCCTTATAACTCCATGTATGTCCCTGAATCCATGCGCATCTCCCCTTGTGCTGTAGGATGTGGGTGCAGCAAGGCCCAGAACCCAATAATTCCCTCCCCCACAGACGGCCCTTTCCTCAGGGCCCCGCCTGGTACCAGGAGCCCCCCCAGCAGGGGGACTGCGCCTGGAAGCTGTAATGGAGGCCCTGCAGAGGCAGCAGGCAGCAAGGCTGGCCCAAGGGGTGGGGCCTTTGGCCCCTCCACGCCTACCGCTTCCACAGCCTCCCCTGCTTGGCGCCCGGACCCTACAGGCTGAGGGAGCCTTGGGGGTGGTTAGGGCTGAAGAAGAGGAGGACGTTGAAGAAGATGAGGAGGGAGAGGCACCCTTAGCAGAACAGGAGGCAGCTGAGGAGAGCCATCCAGGAGCCCGGTGTCCCAACTCACCTTCCAACCAGCCCCCTGGACTCCAACCACACGAGTGGACCTATGAGGAACAGTTCAAGCAGGTAGGAACCATCTCTCCATCACTGCCAGGTTGTCCCTCCTTCCTTCCCTCATGCAAAAGTAGTCCACTCATCCCTATCAGCCTCTGCAGGATGTAAAAACAGAGATCTAAAGAGAGAAGACTGAAGGACAGATAGTGATGAGTCAGGAGAGACACCCATGGAAACATGTGGAAAGTGCACAGAATTCATTAAGAGGTATAGGAGATCCCAGACACATGGCGACTGAAGGCCACTGGGGAGTTTGAAATGGAGGCAGAATGGGTGTTAGGGCCTTTGAGGGAGGGAGATCTGGGGTCTGAGGAATCCACAGCAACATTACTTCCTCTACCCTCTCACATACCAAGTACCAAAGGCAGAGTCTCAGGCTGCCCACTGTCTTTGGAAGGAGAATGCAGGTTGCTCCTCCCTTTGCAGGCTGGTGTACCCATCCTCTTCCCTCCACACTGCTTTATCATCCAGTTTTTTCCCCTGGCCTAAATTCCACCAGTGTCAGTTTCCAGCTTGCACTGGTCACTTCAGCTGCAGTGTAACTGAGGGCCCCTGTGCAAGCTGGGCACTACAAGCCTTTATGTACATGTCCTTAATCCGAACCCTTCCAGTGTTATTAAAGGGACAATAGTACAGGCTGTCACCATGGTGTTACTTAGGGCTGTGATTTCCAGGTGCACCATTCTAGTGGTGTTTCTCATAGGGTGTTGGTTTGGGATGTTTTCTAGAAGTGCTAAATTTGTAGCTAGTGTTCTGTGACATTAGTTTAATACCAGGAGCATCACTCAGGGCTTTGTTACCCTGGAGATTTAGCTCTAGTGGCTGTTTCTCTAGGGCATTGTTCTGTGGGTGTCATTGTAGGTACCATGTGAGGCTCAGAACTCTGGGTCATGCATGTGTGGCTCTGAAGCTGGGTCTCTGGGATTTGATACTCCTGAGAGGATTTGTCTTGGAGAGTTATTATTGGAGGATGGAATGTTACTTGTATGTGCGATTCATAGCAAGCTGAGGCTGAGAAGCTGTGACTCTGGGTCAATGACTCCTTTATTCTGGAATTGTTGGTTTTAGACTTGGGTTGATGTTGGAGGTGGTAATGACCAGTAGATTCTTTATGTTCTGACATCTTAGGTTCTGTGTGTCATGTGATAGCTTTTATAGTAGGCACAGTAAACACCTCTGGAAGGACATCAGACAAGATGGCGCCTATAAGGAGTTCCCCAGCATCCTTCCTACCTGAACTTACCCTAGTTCATATCCTGGCCCACAAGGATATGAACTGCATGAAGCCCTTATACAGATTAGGGGGGATGAGTAAGTGCCTGAGATACTCATCAGTCTCCTGGATGTGGAGCATGGCCCCAGCATGGCTTCCCTCCTGGGACTCTGGATGTCCATCCTCAGGATGGTTAGGACTTTGTCCTGAAGAGCAGGCTGAGCTACTGAAGTACCTTCCTGCTACCCCATATTTGCCAGATACAAGGTTTAAGCCACCTAAGGTACCACTAGCTAGGATAGGTTTCTTGAATGTATTAGATAAAGGCACTCTGCCTGCTCCTGTGGATGGGTCTAGGGCCAGGGAATTCACATTTAGATTCCACCCATCCTTTCACCCAGTACTCTCGTCCAGGGTACCACCTGAATTGGGGTTCCAGGAGGGAGGGGGACAGTGGAACTGGAGAATGACCTTGGTCCTTCCCCAGCTGTATGAACTCGATGCGGACCCCAAGAGGAAGGAATTTCTGGATGACCTGTTTAGCTTCATGCAGAAGAGGGGTGAGTAAAGTCATATGGAAAAGTACCCTGGAATTTCTCCTATTGACTAGGTTTGAGGAAGGAATACCTCAAGGTTTAGTCCCCATGAGAGGTCCTCCCTGCAGAGGCCCGGGGTTGGTGGCACCTGTCCTTTGGGTTCTCAATAGTATCTTTAACCTCTGACCCTGACCCCTTTCTCCACCAGGGATTAATTAGTGCCCAGCCCACAGGCAGGTTAATGAGTGTGAGATCAATTAGGATGGTGGGAGGGGGAACTGGTCAAGACTGGCTTGAAATAGGAGGGTCCCAGGATTTAGGACCAACCAGAATCCTCGGTTGTATACAGTGTACCATTCTTCCAGCCTCGTCTCTCTACTCCATTTCCTTTTGCTTTAGCCCAGGGCACTCCCTACCTGTTCTGCAGCAGGAAGGAATAGGATTAGACTGAAGGAAGGCTTTCTGGAAGGATGTGCTGGGGCCATTTGAATTGGGCAGTGGAGAAGAAATTCCCCTCCAGAAAATCTCAGTGTTGAAAGAATGCAGAAGGGGTCGGGGAGGAATGAGGGTGGGCGGCAGTCCATCACTTCCGCTTCTCCCCAGATTCATGGAACTGAACACTGACTCATTATCTTTCTCTACAAAGCTAATTAACTCACTCAGAGCGAAGCCTGATAAGCTGCTAATTAACTGGCTGCACTGCCCCCCGCCCCAGTCTCCCCAGTCCTCAACCCAACGCTCAGCAACCTTTTCTGGTCCCTTCCTTACTAAGAGCCCTGTGGGAGGACCCCAGGCTTTCTTGCTCCCCAGGGAGACTTGACTATGTTAGTCCTAGTGTTCCCTCCCTGCACTTTTCGGGGGGACCTTCTCTCTCCTAGTAATGGGGTGGCATGGTCTGCCAGCACTGCCCTCACCCCAAGCTCTGCTTCCCTCTGCTCAGCTGCAGGGGGAGGAGGTCTCTCGGGGCCGATAATTTCCCCCCATTAATCAGGCCGCAGCTAATTGTTCGGGTCCAAAGGCGCTGGTGGAAGGGACTGGGGATCGGTAAGGAATTAACTGGGTCCCATCGCTCAGCTCAGACAGGCCCCTTTGTCAGGACTGGCTGGGGGGGGGGGGGG